TATCCGTAAACTGTGTATCTAATAAGGGCTTAATATTCAAAATATATAAAGAACTCATGCAATACAGCAGCAAAAACCAAATCACTATGTTGTACACCTGGAACTAATGTAACACTGTATGTCAGCTATACTCAAATTAAAAAAAAATTTTTTTTAATGGACGAAGGACCAGAATGAACATTTCTTCAAAAAAAAAATACGAAAGGGGTGCCTGGGTGGCTCAGTCATTAAGCGTCTGCCTTCGGCTCAGGTCATGATCTCAGGGTCCTGGGATCGAGCCCTACATCGGGCCCCCTGCTCAGCAGGAGGCCTGCTTCTCCCTCTCCCACTCCCCCTGCTTGTGTTCCCTCTCTCGGTGTCTCTCTCTGTCAAATAAATAAATAAAATCTTTAAAAATATATATATATGAAAGGCCAGTACACACATGAAAAGATTCTTAATATAGTCATTAGGTAAATACAAATTAAAACCACAATGAGATAACACCTCAGACCTGTCAGAATGGCCATCATAAAATACAAAGTAAAAAAAAAAATAAAGAGATGACAAATGCTGGTGTGGATGTGGAGAAAGAAAACCCTGTTGGTGGGGTTGTAAACTGATTCAGCTGCTATGGAAAACAGTATGGAGGATGCTCAAAAAAATAAAACACAGAACAACAGTATGATCCAACAATTCTACTTCTTCAGATATATCCAAAAAAAATGAAAACAGTAACTGGAAAAGATACCTGCATCGCCCATATTCATAGCAGCATTATTTACAATAGCCAAGACATGGACATAAGTGTCCACTGGTGGATGAATGGATAAAGGAGGTATACTTATACAACGAAATATTATTCAGCCGTGAAAAGCAAGGAAAGCTTACCATTTGCAACAACACGGGAGGACCTTGAGGGTATTATGCTAAGGGAAATGAGATTGAAAAAGACAAATACTGTATGATTTCACTTACATGTGGAATGTTAAAAAAAAAAAAAAAAAAAAAATCCCAAGCTCATAGATACAGAGAACAGACTTGTGCTAGCTAGA